CCCCCCCCGTCATTGGAGTTTAGCTGCTGAATAGGAGTTTGCCAGTTAGGGCAGGATATGCATATGCAAAAGGCTTGGAAGGGGATGTGTAAGTGGTTGTGTATGGGAATGTCTGGGTTTGAAGGCTAACTGTAGGGAGGCCCATACTGGGATCCACTGAGCCCCTTGACCGTGGTCTACGCACCGCCGAGCCCTCCCGCTTCTCATCCAGCGACTCGGACTTCGATGACGAAGAGCCCCGCAAGTTCTACGTGCACATTAAGCCTCCCCCAGCCCGGGCTCCAGCCTGCAGCTCTGAGGCCGCAGCGGCTCAGCTCAGGGCCACAGCTGGCAGCCTCATTCTTCCTCCTGGCCCAGGGGTGAGACCCGGAAGGGTGACGGTGTTAGAGGAAGGGTGGGAGGAGCCATTGCAAAGATAGGCAGCTGAGATGGGCCAGGCCGGACAGAGGATGGGGATCAAGTTGAAGATAGACGGGTCAGTGCAAGGATGGATTGGGCCATAGAGTCAGTGGGCGGGGCTAGAGATGGCTCAGTGCAATGATGGGCGGGACCATAGTGTAGGTAGGTGGGGCCATAGTGTGGGCAGATGGGGCTAGAGACTATCAATGCAATGATGGGCGGGGCCATAGTGCAGGTGGGCGGGGTTAGAGCCCAGGGGCTAGAGTCGGTTGGGTCTTTGCAAGTGTGGGCGGTGTGATGATGAAGTAGGCGGGGCCAGAGGCAAGGGTTTTGCTATTGTGGGCGGGGCCAGAGACCAGGGTGGGCCTTTGGAACGGTGTAATGACCAGCTGGATGCACCCGTGCCTGATGGCGCCTTCTTTGTCCACAGGGCACCATGAAACGCCACTCTTCACGTGAGTAGCCATGAGTCATGGGGAAGAGAATGACGCGAGAAGGTTGGGTCTGGATGTGGGTGCGGGTTTGAATCCTGGTTCTGTTGTGTGATTTGCGGCCGGCTGCTTAACCACTCTGACCCTCAGTTTTGTCTTCTGTCATTATAAAAATTAAAGGAGAGGGGCCAGTAAGTGGCATGGTGGTTAAGGCGCTAGACTCCCACGTGGCTGATTGCGGTTTGAGTCCCAGACCCAGCTGCTTGAAAATCACACCAGACGCGTGTGCATATGTGCCCAAGATCCTAAGAAAAGAGTGGAGGAGAAGGGATTGTATGGCCATCCCCCCCGGGAGGGGATAATTCTCACTTTCTCTCTGTCTCTTGTCTCTTTCTGGCGAGAACACATACCCTGTAACCAAAAAAAAATAATATTAATTAAATAAGAACTAGATGGGGTAAATTGGGGCCAGGAAAAGTGCCAACACCACATACAGGCCAGCTCAAGTTCAAATCCTTCTCTGCCTGGTGGCAGGTCACCCTGGGCAGCTGGCTGCTGAGCTGTGGTCCCCTAGTCTGTGGCGAGGGGAGTGTTACCTGGAGGGTGACAGGAAGGCTCAAGGAGGTGCATCTTTCACAGGGGACGCTGCTGGGAAACCACAGAGACCTCGATCTGCCCCGAGGGCCGGCAGGTGGGTTTTGCAGAAGGGGACGTGGCACCAGTGCGAGTGGGCAGGTGGGGACTGTCCCTGCCTGCTCCATCTTCCCGTGCTTCCTCTCTGTATCTCTACCTTGTGCTCCGTCACCCTGACTACGACTTGAGATCAAGATTTTTTGGGGGGACCAGCAGTTAGTGTAATGGCTATGTCGCTGGACTCCCACGTAGTCGACTGTGGTTGGAGTCCCAGACCCGGTGGCTTAAACTCACACCAGGCGCGTGTGCGTGCGTGCCCAAGATCCCGAGAGGAGAATGGAGAAAGGATTGCGGCGTGACCATCCCCCCTGGGGGGTGATTTCTCACTTTCTATCTCTCTGTCTCTGTCTGTCTGGCAAATGCACGCACCCTATAGCAAAATCTCTCAAAAAAATTTTTTTGTGTGTGGGATTATTTATTCATTTGGGTATTTATTGAGCGCCTGCTATGAACACATTCTACTGTTCTGGGTTTGGGGGAAGTGAGGCTTCTTAGAGTCACATTCTAGTGACTTGAGTTTAAAATAACTTTTTTTTTTAAGAATGAACTTTTATTGATTAATTTTTAATTTGACCAGAGAGAGAGAGAGAGAGGGAAAGTGTGAAAGCAAGCCGCCAGGTCCGGGACTTGAACTGCAATCGGCCATGTGGGAGTGGAGCGCCCTTAACCACCACGCCACCTGCTGGCGCCATGACTTGGGTTTTAATAATAGTTGATAAGTTAGAGGCTATTTGGTACTTCTAAGCTCTATGAAGAAATTAAAGCAGGCCATGTGACAAAGGCAGGAGGGAGTGACATCTGTTGAGGCTGTACTGGGGGGCTTCCTTGAGCAGGTGACTTTGCGCTGATCCCAGAAAAGGAGTAGAAGGTGGATGTAGGGAGAGCGAGCTGGGGTTATGGAGTTCAAGACCTAGAACAGGACATGCAAAGGTCCTGGGGTGGGACCCAGCATGGAAGGAACAGCATCCGCCCCTCTTGGCCTCCCCGTTCTCAGCTGTGCAGAGAAGCTGCTGTCGGATGAACAGGTGTCCAAGAACCTCTTTGGGCCGCCCCTGGAGTCTGCCTTTGACCATGAAGATTTTACAGGTGATGGGGTGGAGAGGGTGGGGGCGTGGCCAGAGGGAGGGTGGGTGGAGCCACGGCAAGGATAAGTGGCTCAGGTAGGCCAGGCTCAAGGAAGGATGGGGATCAAGGAGCGGATAGGTGGGTTAGTGCAAGGCGGGGCGGGGCTAGAGATGGTTGGCTCTTTGTTCGTGTGGGCGGGGCAATAAGGAGGAGGGCGTGACCAGGTAAAAGGGTGGGTCTTTGGGCTTGTGGGCGTGGCCAGATACAAGGGTGGGTCTCTTGTGCTGGTGGGCGGGGCCATTACCTTGGAGGGTGGGATCAGGGAGTAGGTGGACCTTTGCAAGAGTAGGCAGTGAAGTCAGTGGAGATGGAAATTACTGGAAGGCGAGGCCTTGGAAGTGGATGAGGACTCTGAATAGGGATTCAGCTTTTCTGAGCGGGTTGCCTCCGGAGGGGTTGGGGATTGGGGGAGGGGCCTGGAGCTGACAGTCCCCTTCCCTCCCCCAGGCTCCAGCAGTCTGGGTTTCACATCCA